CATGTAGTAACATTTAAAGCTCTGGCAGATGGTGAAGAAATGCATAAAGAATGAGGGCAATTATAAATATCATTAGAGATATTTGGAAACTATTTTGTATTTAATTTTTTTTTGTCAATCTACAGCTAACCAGGAGTATAAATATCGAGAATCAGTTTGACCACCCTTAGTTAACTAAGTGGCCTATAAAAAATGGACTCATTGTTTCATCTGTTTTTTGTTATTGGGTACAAGATGTATTGGCTATTGTATGGACTCTCTTGGCTGGCCTGTAAAAAGTGGACGGCAATTGTGTTGTTTTGAAAGATTTTAGACAATAAATTTATATTAGTCTGTTGAATTTCTTAACCTGTTTATTTGTGTCATGGTCATTATGATCACATGTTTTAGTTTAGAAACTTCTAACCAGTGTAGACTCCTGTGTCCTGGACTCCTAGTAAGTTAACTGGACTTCTAAAAAACAATGAGCAACTTCCCTGGCTGGGTAACTCGGTTAGAGCATTGCCCTGATACACCACGGCTGTGGGTTTGATCCCAGTCAGGGCACATACAAGAAGCAACCAATGAATGCATAAATAAGTGGAAAAACAAATTGATGTTTCTCTCTCTTTCTCTCTCTCTCTCCTTCTCTTTCTCTCTACCTCTAAAATCAATATATAAAAATAAAATAAAATAAAATAAAAACAATGAGCTACTGAAAGGTTTGTTTTGAATACCTGGAAAGGCAGAATGACCTGTCCAAACTACAGGATCATGATTGATATAGTAAGTACATGAAGGCCATATGAATACATAAGAATAGTCCTGAGGGTTTACACTAAGAACTGAGACCTTCTGCCAACAGCCATGTGATTGTGCGATCTTGGAAGTGGATCCTCCAGTGCCAGTCAGGCATTCAGATGACTTGAAGCCCCAGCTGACATCACTGCAACTTCAAGAAAGATACAGAGCCAGAACCATCCAACCAAGTCATTTCTGAATTTGTAACCAACAGCAACTGTGAGATAAAATGTTTGTTGTTTTAAGATGCTAAGTTTTGGAGTAATATGTAAATTAGCAATAGATAATGAAAATACACAGGAAGGATTAAGATTTTTTTTAAAGGCACATCTATAAATTAAGAAAAACCTTACATGAATCAGAAAAACTTACAAAACAAACAAAATCAGATGAATATTTCTTTCATATCACTAATAGAAGCTGGAAGTCAGCAATTATACTTTTTAAACAAGCAAAGATTCAGTTTACCTATACATCCTCTTTTCAAAAATAATGTTAGAAACTCTCTAACAATATAAAAATGGGACCAAGTTTAATCATGACTATACTAAGATCTTAGTAAGGGTAAGATAAAGAGCACCCAAAAAAGCCCTTTTGCAATATATAAGTTAAATCTAAATGGATGGAGACAGTGTGAATAATTTATAATTTGTGTTGTAAAATTAGAAATAATTTCCATTTATATACATGACTTAGTATTAAACTTTCTAATACATTCATCATTCAACAAGTATTTATGTGTAACTTAAAATGCACATGTACTTTAAAAGAAAAAAACATTTCAACAAGTTCATAGACCTTTGATGCCCCAAATGGAGCTTCTCTTAAGAACTACCATTCTTTAAAGTTCCAAAAACTTGTCTGAACATTGCATAACATTAGTTTTCATAAATGAATGTTTGTATAGTTTGGTCTAAACTCTAGGCCACATTTAATAATTGTGTAACTCTTGTATTTTTATGTCCATCTTCAGGAACCATTTTTTTTCTCAAAAATTTTAGATGGAGAATAGCTATTTCAACATTTGTATGTGGGAGAGGCCAGCAATAACACATTTTATCTCTTAAATGATGTGAGGTTTGGTATGTTTAACTTTTAAGTATAGGGCTTTTGTTTTTAGCATCTAATTAGCTATCCAATGGAAAACAACATAATATACATAAATATTACACCTAAAACTTCACATACATGTAAATGTTATATATGAAACTCTTTATAGGTATTTTCTATGTGTTATAAGCCATTGTGTCAGCTCCAACTCCTGGCAACTGTGTGAACAAGTGATGTCTACAATGTCCCATCCTCCATAGCCCTGCTTAGCTCCTACAGACTCCTGCCCACTCTTTTCTGTTGTTAATTCTCACTGGAGGATATTTTTTCCACTGATTTTAGAGAGAATGGAAGGGAAGGGGGGGAACATTATGTAAAAGAGACACAATGATTGGTTGCCTCCCCCATAAACCCCTAAGGAAGGACGGGATGGAACCTGCAACCCCCCCACCCCA